TGATAGTTGGCTGTCACACTTTTTACGCAATTTTGCGGCAATGGAACGCGAACCACGGAATCTCAGATTCGCAGTTCGACACGTTGACCATTAAGCCACATCCGAATACCAAGTTACTTGAGTAATTTGATATGATGCTTAATACCAAGTTAATAGAGCAAGCAAGTTATTTCAGAGTCTGGAAACAAGCATTGATGTTCTCCATATGGAAATTGAAGCTATCCTTATATTTCTACAAGAATATATATAGAGAGAGTGGTTTTATAAAGGTCCAGGTGGATGGTAGAAAGCATCATTTGAAACTGTAGCTCCATCTTTCTTTTCAGTGTCGTATCTGTGCAATGTATTCAAAGCATCATATACTTCTTGTAAACAGTATTGCAAGACTTTCACACCCTCAATTCTACTTTCCCAACAGGTATCCAATAACCTTTTTACACTTAAACCAGACTCATGCTCCTTCAGAATTGCCCAAATCTGCACTGAGTTACTGACGAGGCTGATGAAGTGTATACAGAGAAGATATAATAGAAAGAAGTTTTATGTAAGTGGATAACAATTTTATACATGGTTTGATGTTTCAGACCACTGCTAAGAATGGTATGAAGATGGATAAATGTGAGAATACATTCCAGTTGCTAAGGTGTTTTTTGGTCAAAGCACAGGTGTTGGCTTATCTTTCTTGAGATTGTCCCTTTTTTATAAGGCAAATATTTGTGTTTCAGATTTGGTGACATTTGTGTTCTTTGTGCTTATAAAGTTATATATATAAAACTGTAAAGCTGGCATAATGCCATACACTTGGAAGTAATAAAATCAATATTGACAATTATCCTTATATTTAAAAAAAATTCAATCACCTGATCTTTCTACCCAAAAAGTAAGTCAATTTTTTATTACTTTTGATAATTTGAGACTATAAAAAGCTAAATTTAAACCTTTCTGACAGCCAGGGATGTGAGATTAGAGGGAAAATTCTCTTGAGGCTCTGTGGCCCGGGGAAATCTAAAGGGGTTGGATTTAATTTTTTTTACAAAAATATGGATATAGTTAGACTTAAGTAAGCCTTTTACCTATATTTATGTTCAAAAATTGAGTTTATAACAAAGTGTCAAAGTAAATATAATATAAACACTTAAGATATATTCTATATAGCAGAAGAAAGAGAGCAACAAAATTGTTTTATATTTCTCCAAACTTCTCATATAAATATTTTAAATATTTGTATAAAATTCTAGAATAATTTCAATAAGCTATAATGGAAAAGGGAAGATAATTTAGTCCCAAACCTACAAACTACCCTTGGTATTCTTATTTTCTGTTACTTAAACAGAAATAAACCATAATGAATTTTGAATTAGCATTCTCTAAGCTTCTCAAGTGAAAACATTTGAATGTTGCTATATAATTCTAGGATTCCCACAGATGCCCAATGTTGGCCTCGGTTAGTACTTGGGAATGTTAGACCATCTGGGAATGTCAATTGATGGCATCATTACTTTTTGTCCTTGATGGGACAGTGGTCAATCTACAGACATACTATGCTAAA